ATAAAAATATGGAAAGCAACAACAGCAAATTTTATCACTCGTGCCAGTATGAGTGCACAACACTTTACCTTATTATACCGGAGCAGATGAGATGAAAAAAGCCAACGTCCTAAGAGTGGAGGGGAGGGGGAGAGCACAGAGCCAGTGAAAGGGGTCGAGCGGCGATTGGAGCTTCTCCCACTGTCGACCAGCGTCGCCGATCAGTGAAATTGAAAGGTATCGAACTATGCGAGAGGCTGAAAGCGAGATGACAGACGGAGGAAGTGAACTCGCCGGCCGCAATAGCCCGAGAAGAAGAGACGGAGCCACAGGCGAGTGTGGCTGTGGCTGTGGCTGAAGGAGCGTCGATGGTCTCAAGGGCTTTTTTAAGATAAGTCAAGAGCCCACGGGCCCAGACCGACAGGCCTTAACTCCATGTAATTTTGGTACCTCGAACCCACTCCAATAGAAATATAAAGAAGGGGTGCCCAGCGGCAACAGCCTCATTTGTCTGGAGGTTATATTTTTCTCGTTTCAATAGATGGCGAAGAAGTAACTCAAATTTTCATCGTCTGCATTTTTCTGCGGAAGCGAGAACACTTTGCCCTTTTAAGTCTGGGTATGCTGTTAGTCTGTCTAGTATTCCCACTTCTAATTTCCAATCCAGCCTCCTAGCTTTTATTCTTCAACGAGTTTCCCGTTTCATTGAAGCTTTCTTGATAATGGATTCAAGTGTGTAGGTATATCTGGAATTCTAAATCCTATTTTCTCTACGGCCACTACACGAATATAGGAAACTTTGGAAGCTGTTATGCTAGACCTATGGTTTCACAGCTCCAGTCCCTCTGAAACCATTATCTAGCTGTACGTAATGAGTTGAGAATGTTTAAAGTTCTTTTTTATTAATTTATATTATTTTATTACTGAAGCGTTATTAGTTAGGACTATTCACATGGCAGTATCAGCGTACATATATGTTTGTGTTTGAATAATGGTGAAAGTGTGGAGAACAGAACACATGGGTGAGTTCCCTGATGGAATTGGGTTAGGGTTTATGTTTGCAAACTTGAGTTTGGATTAACTTGATTTTTACAGACTTGATTCTGTTCAAAAGTGAGTTTATCGTACAGTGTAAAATTATCCAGTAACTATTTACACTGTTTTAACTTGAAACATTATTTTTTTTTTTGGGGTCAAGTTGAGAGTATTATACCATTGTTAATTTTTTTTCCCCCTTCCAATTAAGATAAATGTTGGAATTGAAAAATTCTTGCTTTTGATTAGTATAGATGGGACTTCATCTACTCACATAACAATCACAGTGGCGGTGTCATTTTATGTTTTTGCATTCTTTTGAAATGAATAATGGTAAAAGAATGAAGAATACATATGGGTGATTTCCTTGATGAGACTGGGAAAAGATCACCCTCATCTTCTCTCATTATGGTTCTTACAGGAGTAGTTGAAATCAGAAGTCCCTATGAAACTCGCAGGACTAAAATCTCTTGATAATGCTCATGATGACTCAGTGTGGGCAGTCACGTGGGTACCTGCCACTAGTTCCCGATCTCCCCTCCTCCTTACTGGATCGCTTGATGAGACTGTGAGGGTCTGGAGTTCTGATGAGCTTGTCCTCGAGAACACCAGCACTGGCCACTGCCTTGGAGTTGCTTCTGTGGCAGCTCATCCTCTTGGTACCATTGCAGCTTCTTCTTCCCTTGATAGCTTTGTTCGGATCTTTGATGTAGATTCCAATGCTACCATTGCCACTCTAGAAGCTCCACCATCTGAAGTCTGGCAAATGAGATTTGATCCTAAGGTAATGGAGAATAGACTGTCAATGACTATGCTTGCTTGGTTTCTATTTAAATGCTTCTGCAGTGAAAATGTAGATACCTAAAATAAGTTCAGACATTGAGAAATTGTGAATTTAACTTCTTTTAAGGGCAGTTGAGCTATGTAGGCCAATTATCATTGTTAAGATTGATTCGCATATTGCAGTATTTCCTGTTAGACTCATGTACTGCTTACTGCTCTAACTTAACCTTTCATAGACTATATCTTTTCACTTTGTCTTCTTATGTTTTCCCCATTCTTGTTAAGGTTTCTTCTGGTGGGAATTCGATGTCTCCAGTTGATCATTTCCACCTAGTATCAGTCTTTTTTGTCAATATAATAATTTGAGTGAGTTTAATATTCGAATTTAAGCACGCACTCAATGCTTATGATTTCTATATGTTCTTTCAGTGCTAGAATACAAAAGAGTGAGAATACTTGTATTCATTAATCATGATTCATGAAGGAAAGCAATACGAGGATTATATTTGATAGCTCAATAACTCAAAATGTTTATTTACCTTGATAGCTTACTTTTATTTTTAAATTATGTATATTTGTTTGTTTGTCCTCTTGATTACAGGGTGCGAAGCTATAAGTTTGTTTCTTTTTCATTTTCGCTTTCGTCTTTCTTAAATCAAAATGGCTACGAGTTTGTATAGTGGATGCTTGAAAGACAAATTTGGTTATTCTCTTTTATACCATCATATGCCTTTCAATTTGCTTATTTCAAGTGGAATGATGCTCTGTATCTTCAGTATCCAAGTTCGGTTTAAATGTTAGGAATAGTTGACTCTCAGTTCATGTCAAACTTTCAGAGTGTAATTTTTTTTGAACCGTTACAATCTGCACAGGTTGTGTTTCTGTAATTTGTATTGGACATTTATGTTGTGTTGTAATAGTTTCTTTATATCACCCGTCCGCATTACATATCCTAAACTAATCAATTTGGAAATTGATGAACATTTCAGTTTCTTGGCACCTTCATTTGGCATCAGTGCTGGAGGGACCTATTGTACTTGTTTTCAATGCACTACCCTTCTACTCCCAACTTCTAAACCTTGTGCCTTGTATGTGATTTAATAATGATTATGACGACGACGGCGATAATGATGTATGAATGACTTCAAAAGCAGATTGATTAAATATTATCATCTTTCTTCTTCCCAATTTCAGAAGGGATTATAATGGAAAGGATTAAAGTATCTGTTATTCCTTTTTCCTTTGCCTATCTTTGTTAAGCATGACATAAACATAAAACATGAAAGAATAGCATGTAGAATCCGAAGTGTCTGATTCTAATTGAAGTGTTGCTGCGTGTTTGATGCAATTTTTCAAAATGTGTCGAACACAATGTGGTTATCCTTTCTTTTGAACTATCTCCTTGTTTTGCTTGTGGAAAGTCTACCATCACATATGAATTACTCCTTTAATTACTTCCTTTACTTTTTTCTGTTGACTGTGTTAAGGTATGCCCCCTTTTGAACCCTTTCCATTTTAACAACACTAACTTTAACCCTGCGGCCAGGGTGCCATTCTGGCAGCTGCCGGTGGAGCTAGTGCATCTGTTAAGCTTTGGGACACTACCACTTGGCAAGTTGTTGCTGATCTAGCAATTCCTCGGCCTGAAGGACCCAAACCCACTGAGAAAAACAGCAGCAAGAAGTTTGTGCTATCAGTTGCATGGAGCCCTGATAGGCAACGACTTGCTTGCGGGTCTGTGGATGGCACCATTTCTGTGTTTGATGTGGCCCGAGCCAAATTTCTACACCACCTTGAAGGCCACGCCATGCCAGTTAGGTCACTTGTTTATTCCCCGCGTGAGCCTAGGCTTCTGTTTTCTGCTTCTGATGATGCTCAGGTCCACATGTATGATGCTGAGGGGAAAAGTCTGCTCGGGGCCATGTCAGGTCATGCAAGCTGGGTACTGTGTGTGGATGTTAGCCCAGATGGGGAAGCCATTGCGACAGGATCGAGTGATAAAACTGTTAGGCTGTGGGATCTTGGCATGAGGGCTTCTGTGCAGACAATGAGCAACCACACGATCAAGTTTGGGGGGTGGCATTTAGACCACCTGGTGCTGGAGGCAACCAGGTGCGAGGTGGTCGCCTTGCTAGTGTATCAGAAGACAAGAGCATATCACTGTATGATTATTCATGATTTAGGCGGTGGTTTCTGTAAATTGTAGTACTACTTCGGAAGATAGTTCACTACTTTCGTTTTTCATTTCAAGGGAATTCTTTAGTTTTAGTCTACATGATGCATCATTCATTCGCTTGAACTTTAATCACCAACTAGAGAACATCGTTGATTCGTTGGGGGCTTTTTTTTGGCCAAGGGCACCAACGATAGATGTTGTGATTTTTTTCATGCTAGGTTTTGTTAGCTGGATGCCTAGACGTATGAACCGGAAAATCACAAAAGGAAAAAAAAATATCTTTAAAACAAAATACATAAATGCAATACAATAAATAAGTCGGCAAATACTTCAGGCCCGGTGGTAAAATTACTATATTTATTGTGAATTTTTAAGGATTTAGATTTAGTGAATGATTTTAATACATTCACATAATGAATGTCCCATTTGCTATGATAAATGGCTTGATTTAATTAAATGGCTATTGAAGAGTTTGTCACTTAATGTTAAAAAAAAAAAAATCTTAAACTTTTGGAAGAGATGTATAAGTAACGATGATTTTAATGATTTTTTTGAATTTTTTTAAAATATATTTAATAATTTTTAAGTAATGAGAAAATGTAACATCTATAATTGAGTATTGATACTTATTGAATTAATGTATTTAAAACACTTATTAAATTCAAATCTTATTTTAGAATTTTTTAAGGGAATCAGAATTTTTTAAATCAGTTTTTATTGTGTTTGATAAATTTATTAAAAATTAGATACAATTGTCTTCATAGTTAATTCATTATATATAATATAAAAGCTTTTAACATACCAAATATTCACAGCGTGTAATGTGTGTAAATTGTAATTGCAATTGTGAATTGTAAATGAATAAATAGGCAGAGAAAAATATAAGATTGAAAGATAATAAATATAAAACCATTCCCGTTTTTTCCCCCCCTTTTCTCCTACTTTGCCCCCAAACGCAGATGCAACCCTTATAAGGCTTCCATGCAATAGCTATAGCTTTCCCGCATCCCTGCAGCTTCCATCACTGTCAGCGGCGAAGCGTCGTCTCAGCATAATAATAGCGAGGATTCCAGAGTACCTTACAGAGAAGCTTAGAAATTCTTTGTGAGTTGGTGTAAATAATGGGAAAGAAAGCCAAAGGGTCAAGGAAGGGTAAGAAAGCTTGGAGGGCTAACATTGGTACGGAAGACATTGAAGGCTTCGTTGAGAAATCAACTAAGGATGCTCTTTCTGGTGGCCCTGTGGATTCCGTTCCCAGCGAGTCTCTCTTTTATATCGACAAGTCTAAAGGCAATTACTTTTCCCTCTGTTTTTCTTTTCCCTTTAAATGTTATTTGCTATATTATTTCCATCCTATTCCTATGTTTGGTTTCTGTGAAATTTGCGGTGGGGGTAACAGACAACTCAGTGGTCTGAAAATTTTATGAAGGAAGGTTGATTGATTATGTCTGAATGGAATCGATCTATCTGCTCTTTTTTATGCCCTTCCAGCTTCGATTTGGGATCTAATTTTGACTCATAACTATTTTGATCGCTTTTTTTAATTACTTCAGGAATTTATTTTGAGATGTGCAGTGTAGTTTCCGCAAGAAAGCTGGGAAGGTGGACGATAACAATTATTTGTATAATGCTTTTATGTTTGAAGTACAGTTTTAATCATGCCTCCCTGATATTTTTAAGTCATAGTCATATGTTAATGATTATGTATTGTGTTTGTGTTAGGCTAAAGTAAACAATATTTGCAGATCTTTCGGTGAAAAAGAAGATTGAAAAACATAGGGAAAAAGTCCTTCGTTGTGACAGCTTGCTACAGAAGAACCCATTTTTAAACTCTGTGCCATCTTCAACTCTGAAGAAGTCCACTAAAAAGCACAAAGAAGTCCATTATGCAAAAGAGGCCACTCAGGATGACTTTAAGGTCTGTCAGCTGTTCATCCCCTAAATTTCCACTAATGGCAGTACTTCTTTTTTCTCCCTTACCCGCAAAACTTCTTTTAGAACTTGTTTTAATTTACTTTTCCATGTCATGTTGTTTGTCAGGTTGATTCTGGCTCTGCTTCTGGCGTGTTTGATCTATGGGGAAATAGAGGTATATTACATTATATGCATGTTGCTATTTGTGCCTTTGTCTTTTTCTGTTATTAATATTGGATTTTTATATTTCACAGATGAGGACAATGCCAAGGTCAAAAGGGTAAAACAAATATCAAGAGAGATTGTGTCTATGCATTGACAGTTTCATTTTAACTGTATTGCGCTTTCTGTTTATAATTTGGTAGAGTTTGCCTAACAGGTATCAAAGCCTTCTCTTATTCCAGCCGTTGAAGTTGATCCTCCTGGATGCTCATTCAACCCCGCATTTGAAAGCCACCAGGTTCACTCTTGAGAACTGTTCTTTGTTTTTCCTGTTTCCTTGTCTTGTAAAGACTAAACATGACATATTTAAATTTTGTTTGTTCAACCAGGATACATTAGCTTGTGCTGTTGCTCAAGAAATGCAGAAAATCTACAAAGATGAATTGGGACCTGAGCCTGTAACCATTAGTTGTCCCTGGAGAAGCTAGAAGATTGCGGAGGAAGATGTGAGTCTTTTTCTTTTCTTTCTTTTTTGTTTTTAAATTCATGTACTTGTTGAATTTATCGATGTCCAATTATCATCTTAGAAGCGTTGTTTTCCAACATTGAAAGTCTTAGATGTTGGGTACGTGACTTTACAATCTGCTTTTGTTCTACCTTGAAAGTAGTCCTTTGGAACAATGATTTGCTCTTTCATCATTTTCTTGAACTCTTTGTGATGCTTTAAATTGTCCTAATCTTTACCTGTATTCTGGCGACTACATGCAATTTTTGTCAGATGTTATTTCTTGACGTGGATGATGGCAGTGATGATGAAGACAATCTTGAAAATGAGGACTGAATTAGAGAAGAGGTAGGGCTCTTAGCTTTAATTTTCCTGATCATGTTTCCTCATGTTATGTTGTGTAATTTGCTCAGCAATTCAAATAAAATATTTTTCTTCCCATTTCCCTTGAGGAACGTGGCATATACTTTCTTCTGGAAATCGATT